TTTACAATACAAATACAATGAAAGATATATTGTTTAAGATGGATGGACATTTAAATAATCAACGTTTGATATTATAGTCATTAATGAGAGGAATTCAATTACAATTAAAATGAGTCATTTTACAACAAAATGATAAAATATGTTATATAAAACAATTTGTTAGTAAAAAGAAGATTAATAGAACATAGCTTTTGTTTAGTCATTAAATGTTCAAAACTGCTATGAGCAATGTAGAAAAAAAGGGGTGGTGATGAAAAAGAATTGGTATATTGCAATAAATCAAAATATGAAGAATTAATGAAAGTTGAATAAAACAAAAAAAAAACTAAAAATTTTCATTTTGGTGAATTTATTTGATAGGACATATAATGATACTTGTGTTATTTTTTTGTATTAATTTAGTTTTTTCACAAAGTTTTGAAGATTTGTTAATTACTGTTACACTTGATGGAAGTATTACAGCAAGAAGACTTGTTGACAGTGCAATTGTATGGCAGACTCAACACTCTGGACCATTATTGACATCTTGTTTGTTTATTTTAACGTATATTAAGGGAATAAAAAAAGATTTATAAAATAGATTTTAGTGGACAAACACCATATATTCCATCTATTGACTCAAGCAAAACATTATTTTCTGTTGATAAAGAACAATCACAATTAAAACGAATGAAATTTAAAATAGAAGATATATTTAATCAATCTCCAGCAATAATAGATAATGTGTTAGTATTTTGTGATAAAGAATCAAAAATATTTTCTATTAGTACTGACTCAGGTAAAATATCTCCTTATAGAATTGCTATAGGAAGTCTTCCTTTTTCTAGAAATCAATACCATCTTAAAGCCATTGATCCATTGAGTGGTATAGAACTTTGGAATATGACTATTGCAGAATATAAAGCAGTTGTTGAAATTCAACGTAAAATTAGTAAGAAGCATCAATTATTAATCAATCCTATTACTAATACTGTTCAGTTATATGAAGAAAATGAAGTTACTTGGAGTAGAAGATTTGAAAATAGTGATATTGTAGGAGCTTTTATATATGATTCTGGAGAAGAGGATATTAGACAAATAGAAGTGTCATTTGTTACAATATCAAATGATGTTATTATAAATATTTTCAATGATAATTTATATGCTATTATTCCAATTTCACTTAGAACAGATAAAGAAAATTATAGTATGCAAGATAACTCCAATACTTTAGTTCATTCTACTAGACTATTAATTGCTCCTTCAATCAAATATATTGATAATCTTGAAGATCAAACAGATGATAAAAAGAATCAAAGTATTAAGGAAGATGATATGGTGTGTTTAAATGAATTTGATTCATTTCCAATTGATCAAACTGTTCCAAATGGAAGTATTATTGTTATTAATAAAGATAGAATTATTGATTTTGATGATAAAAAATGGAATGAAGTTCTTGTACCACTTACAGACATTCCTCCAGTATTACCAAATAATCCTATTCCACCATTACCAAATAATTCGTCTCATCACATTATATTTTTACTAATACTTATTGTTATTGTTATTATTTTAATTGTATTAATAGTTTTGATGTTGATGAATAACGCTAATCAATCACCACTAGAAGTTACTGACAAACAACTGGGAACAGGTTCTTTAGGAACTGTTGTGTTTGAAGGTAATTTTAATGGAAGACGGGTTGCTGTAAAAAGATTAGTAAAAGAGTTTTATTCAATTGCACAGCATGAAGTTGAAATATTTAATCAAACAGAAGAACTTCCTAACCTTGTTAGATATTATATGAGTTATAGTGATAGAAACTTTATTTATATTGCACTAACATATTGTGAATGTACGTTAGAACAACATATTAATACAATGGAATATAAAAAAACACCATTACTAAATGAACATACTATAAGTCTTATGAAAGGATGTGCAAGGGGAGTATATTATTTACATAAACTTGGTATTGTTCATCGAGACTTAAAACCACAAAATGTACTTATTGACTCAAAAGGAGAAGTTAAAATTACTGACTTTGGACTAGCAAAAAAAATTGACGATAATGCTTCATTCACTTGTTCTCATGGTGGGAGTGTTGGTTGGCAAGCACCAGAAGCCATCAAAGGAGAAAGGTTAACAAGCAAAGTTGACATTTATAATCTTGGTTGTTTATTCTTTTTTATTGCAAGAAAAGAACATCCATTTGGTCCATTAATTGATCGCTCAAAGAATATCTTACTTGGAAAGATGGTCAAAATGGATTATGACAATGCAAACGTTTATCAAAATGAATTTGTTATGACATTAGCAATTTTGACGAGAATTGATCCTAATTTACGACCAAGTGCAGACCAAATTATGGCATTACCTTTGTTTTGGGATTTTAATAAGAAACTCAATTTTATTAAAAACGCAAGTGATTTATTTGAAATGGATCCATCAATGATTATTACTAGAGAATTAGATGCTTCAGGCATTGGTATTAGATGGCAACAATCCTTAGACCCTGGGTTAGTTGATTCATTAGTAAAATTTAGAAAATATGATTTTAATAAAACAAGAGATTTATTACGGGCTATTAGAAATAAAAGTCACCACTATTATAATTTACCTAAAACTGAACAAAGCTTATTTACCAGTTTCCCTGATGGGTTCTATCTTTATTTCTATAAACGTTTTCCAGGTCTTCTTATTCTTGTGTATAATGTCGTCAAAAAACATTATCCAAATGAACCAATTTTTAATGAGTTTTTTATTTATGATTCAAAGTAAGTCAAATGAAGTTATTTGTATTGTTGTTCTTATTTCTTTATAATTCTAATTATCTAACAACATTATTTCTTAATTTTTTGTTCATAGGTTTTTATTTTTAACAATGCATTTTTCAATATCTTGTGAACGTTAAATTATTCTCTATAATGACACAACATTTCTTAATATTCATTGACTCATTTTCCTAAAGTTCTTTATCTGTTCTTGTTTAATCTTATTGTACTTCCAAAAATTGTAGTAATAGCTTGTTCAGAAAAATTTTCATCCACTTAAATAATTTATAGTGTGTTTTAAAAAAATATAAAAGAAAAGTCTCATATAGAAGAATAGTTATAAAAAGGTAAGAAAATTTTTAATATAAAAAAGTGTTAATTAATAAGTTATATTCGACAATTGGAGTTTATAAACATTAAGAGGTGTTCATTAAATTGAATGAAATATGTATTACCCCAAATGTAATATTCATTTAAAATATAATTCATTTGGTTTTAACTAAGAATAATTTTTTAGATTTTAATGGAAAAAAATAATAAATATTTCAATTTATTATAAATAAATACTTAGAGTATTTGTAATTATAATAATTTAGATTAAATACTTTCTCATTAATTTATGTATAATTATATTGAAAGTATTACATTTAATTATAATGTTTAGATTATAGAATAAAAATGATAATGAAAAACAAGTTATTAACCAGAGTTATAGTGACTATTATGTCTATAAGAATCAAATGTATAGATAAAAGAATAAAAATAAGAAATAACAATACAAAAGATATATAAACAAAAGAATAAAAATAAGAAATAACAATACAAAAGATATATAAACAAAAGAAAATGAATGAAATAAATGGAAATAAAAGATGAAAAAAAATCTATCGGAGAAGAAAGTAATAAAGAGAGTGATAAAGAGATGATGAAATATAAGTGTCAATTGTTATAAAAATATAATAAATATTTACATAATAAATCAAAGATAAATTAAAACAGAAGAAAAAAAGAATAGAAAATGTCAAAATGAAAATGAAATACATGAATAATATAATAAAATAACAACTCATTATAATATTATAAAGAGAAAAAAAATAAAGAATAAAATGAAAATGAATAAATAGAAGGAGTGATAACAATATAAATAATAGAAAATAGAAGAAGAATAAAAATCTGAAATAATAAAATCCATTAAATTATAGAAAATGAAGAAAATGAAGAATAAAATTAAAAGTAATAAATGAATAATAAAATATATAAATAATATACAATGATACATGAAATTATATTTATTACATTTTATTAATTATCAAATAAATATAAAATTATGATAATATTAATAATTGAAATATATTTAATTCGATCAATTTACAACAAAATGATATTTACAAATATGAAGTGAGAAAAACAAGAAATAAATTATAGAAATACATTATATTGATGATAAAAAAAATATAAAAGGAAATAAAGAGTAAATAAACTATAATAATAAAATGAGTAAAAGAATATGTTAAGAAATAAATAAAACATAAAATAACAAGAAGAATAAAATAAGGAAAATAATATAAAACAAACAAAGAGTAATGTTATAATAAAAAATAATAAAAATGTCAATAAATAATAAATAATAGAGTAGAAAAAGAATAAAAATAAAAGAATAAAATATACAAATCAGATATATCAAAACATCATTCGATATCCTATTCAAGTGATATAAATTCAGAAACAAATTGAATAGAAATAAAAGGGATCATAAGCACATTTAATGAATTAAAATAAATGAAAAAGAATTATAAATGAATAGAACGTTAAAGACAAAATATTCTTAAATAACAAGTTAATTATTATTTAATTTATAATCAAAATTTATTTGATTTATTATATCCCATACCATAAATTTATGAATGTAAAAAAAGAGAAATAAAACTGACTTTTCTTTGAACTAATTTGTTTATTAAAACAATTAAAAAAGTTAATGTGTGATTTTTTCAAACATTATTTTAATAATAATAACAATCTTATATAAATTTGGCAATAAAAAAACAAATAATATAAAAAGAATATTA